GGTTGTCCCCAGATTGTCCTCAGGTTGTCCTCAGGTTGTCCTCAGGTTGGTCTCAGGTTGTCCTCAGGTTGTCCTCAGGTTGGTCTCAGGTTGGTCTCAGGTTGTCCCCAGATTGTCCTCAGGTTGTCCTCAGGTTGTCCTCAGGTTGTCCTCATGTTGTCCTCATGTTGGTCTCAGGTTGTCCTCAGGTTGTCCACAGGTTGTCCACAGGTTGTCCTCAGGTTGTCCTCAGGTTGTCCTCAGGTTGTCCTCATGTTGGTCTCAGGTTGTCCTCAGGTTGTCCACAGGTTGTCCTCAGGTTGTCCTCAGGTTGTCCTCAGGTTGTCCACAGGTTGTCCTCAGGTTGTCCTCAGGTTGTCCTCAGGTTGTCCACAGGTTGTCCTCAGGTTGTCCTCAGGTTGTCCTTAGGTTGGTCTCAGGTTGGTCTCAGGTTGTCCTCAGGTTGTCCTCAGATTGTCCACAGGTTGGTCTCAGGTTGTCCTCAGGTTGTCCTTAGGTTGGTCTCAGGTTGGTCTCAGGTTGTCCTCAGGTTGTCCTCAGATTGTCCACAGGTTGGTCTCAGGTTGTCCTCAGGTTGTCCTCAGATTGTCCACAGGTTGGTCTCAGGTTGTCCACAGGTTGTCCTCAGATTGTCCCCAGATTGTCCTCAGGTTGTCCCCAGGTTGGTCTCAGGTTGGTCTCAGGTTGTCCTCAGATTGTCCTCATATTGTCCTCAGGTTGTCCTCAGATTGTCCTCAGGTTGTCCTCAGATTGTCCCCAGATTGTCCTCAGATTGTCCTCAGGTTGTCCACAGATTGTCCTCAGGTTGTCCCCAGGTTGTCCTCAGGTTGTCCTCAGGTTGGTCTCAGATTGTCCTCAGATTGTCCTCAGGTTGGTCTCAGATTGTCCTCAGATTGTCCTCAGGTTGTCCTCAGATTGTCCTCAGGTTGTCCCCAGGTTGTCCTCAGGTTGTCCTCAGATTGTCCTCAGGTTGGTCTCAGGTTGGTCTCAGATTGTCCTCAGATTGTCCTCAGGTTGGTCTCAGATTGTCCTCAGGTTGGTCTCAGGTTGTCCTCAGGTTGTCTTCAGGTTGTCCTCAGGTTGTCCTCAGGTTGGTCTCAGATCTAACAGAATCCCTCAGGTTCTTCTGGTTCTGGTTCTGCTGTAGAGGACTAATCACTGAGGGGTTCTGGATCTTCACGTTGTCCTCAGGTTGTCATCAGGTTCTCTCTGTCCTGGTCCAGGCCCCGCTGCCGTGTGAGAAGATGGTGGTCCGTCTGGAGGCTGAGATCCGGGCTCTGCAGAGCGTGATCAGTGAGCAGCACCACTACATCCTGGAGCTGCAGAGCAGCCAGACCCAGCAGCTGCAGCTGGTCCCCAGCAGCCAGCTGGGCCTCCAGAACCTGTACCGAGGTCCGTCTTGCTCCCAGCACACCTGTTTATGTGCAGCAGAACCTGATCCTGTCTGAGCAGAACCTTGTGCTTTGCAGACTGCTCCGAGGTCTTCGCAGACGGGAATGTGGCGAGCGGGCTCTACGTGATCCGACCGGACGGCTCGCCCACGGCGCTCAGCGTCCACTGCGACATGAACAACGGCGGGGGCTGGACCGTGTTCCAGAGGAGGAGGGACGGCAAGGAGGACTTCGACAGGTGGGTGTCCTCCTCTGCTCTCATTGGTCCAGAAGTCCTGTTGTTGTTTCAGGGGGAGGAGCTGTGACCTTTGACCTCTATGAGCTCATTGCACGGTCTTACCTTCGGGGTGAAGACTGTCAGCTGGAATCTAAATGACCTTTGACCCTTCAACAGCTGCTTCTCTGAGGAGGACCAGCAGACCTGATCCTGAGGGACCAGCAAGATTCAGTTCTTCAGGTTTGGTTCTGTGTCTAATTGTGGACTAATTCGGACCCTGTCTGCAGGTCCTGGGTGGAGTACAGTCAGGGCTTCGGGGACTCCTTCTCCCCCGACGGAGAGTTCTGGTTGGGAAATGAACCTCTGCACCTGCTCACCTCACAAGGTGAGTTTACCTGTCTGAGGGTCTCACAGGTGAGTTTACCTGTCTGAGGGTCTCTCACAGGTGGGTTTACCTGTCTGAGGGTCACTCACAGGTGAGTTTACCTGTCTGAGTGTCACTCACAGGTGAGTTTACCTGTCTGAGCTGTCTGAGGGTCACTCA